AAACACAAACACATAAACACAAACACATAGACACAAACACAAAAATAAAACATAAACATAAACATACACATATGCATGTATATAAATAAACCACACATGCACATGCACATAGTGCATACACATATACCTATACATGGACACATACAAATACATGTCCATATATACATGGAAGCATATATACATATTCATATATGCATGTAAACATATATACACGCTCATATACACATATGTACATATAAACATCTATACATATGTACATATACGTATACACTTATATGTGTACATATACTACATTTGCAAACATACATAATTTGGGGACCAGCCTAGACGAGGAAGGGCATACTGCAGGGATAGGCGTTTTCGTACCTTTCTGGACCTGTGTGTAGCATTGTATTTGCAGCATCCGTTGCAGGATAGTGATGCAAAAGGGAATGTGCAAGTTAATCAACAATGTTTCGAAAATGTATGTGTGTGCATGAACTTTACGTCGAGTTCGTTTAACATGTTGTCAAACCGACAAAGTTTCAAGCACCTGAGCCGAATTGGTGTATGATCTGGGGACTGAACCTTAATTATACATCCAAGTACTGAAGCCTCGGCATGCGACATGTCATGGTCCAGCGGGTGTGTGGGAAAGAGTTCCGCGAGTGTGTTTGCGGATGTGATGTCTTACCATGCTCCAAGAACAAACCCAGTGCACTTTCCCGGCAAATAGTCTGATTTAGTAGGGCAGACCAAGCACCAATGCAAATGAACACTACTTGACTTGCAGAGCCAAGGTGTCAATGTCAGCCGGCCGCTAGACGCTGCAGCACCATTGCTTTGCAACGAAGAACCACAATAAGATCGGTACCACACCGCTGCATAGTGGGCAACAAACACAAGGCCACCATAGTCCAGATGAAGCCACTGCTTCAGCACTCGAAAAAGAGCACTACAGGAACGCTTGCTGAATGCATAGGAAAAGCCCACCAAGCACAGATCCAAGGCAATCCTTATGTAGATTCTAGGCAGAGCAGATAAGGCCATATACAGACCAGAAAAAAACCGGTAAAACGGCCTTCGGGCCCAGAGCAAAGCAAGGCTACACGCACCTTTTCGGGCTCCCTGAGCAACAAGCCTTCTGCTCGTAAAAATAGACCCGCCTGCGGTGGACAAATCCAAACCTTGCCCCTCAGCCAATCTTCGCGTCCCACGTGTGCTGCATCTGCAGCGACACAAAGTATGTCCATCGAGTAGAACTCGTTCTTGCCGTCCTGCAGGTAACCATACCGCCCCATGCATGCAAGCCGGTGTGCGGCCATTGAAGTTTTTGTTGGACTTGGTCTTCGGGCGGTCCACCGGGGTGTCATCCACGGTCAAATCGTGCCTTGCAAAGCGGAAAACCAAAGTCCGGTGTGAATTGCCAGCCGAAGTTGCAACTTGCTCTCGGAAGCCGTGTGAAGTCCGACGATATCCCGCTGCACTCCTGCCAAGGTGCAACGTGACTAAATAGTTTAGGGCTTAGTGCTTCGGGAAACAACTGAAAAATACAAAAATATCATCGCTCCTCACAGCGTCACAGCGTCTGTCTGTCTCTCTCTCTTTCTCTCTTTCTCGCTCTCCAGGAGAGGAGTCCTCTTCTCCACTGCCTTACGATGCACATCAAAGAGGTGAAGCCCTGACTGGGATTCGGTTTTCTGCTGTTTTGGATGCAGCTCCTGGCTCGTCAGGCTCCCCAGTATGAAGACGAGAAGCTTCCAGATCGGGTGTCCGGCTTTGCGCAACAGTTGAGGCGAGCGAAAGCCTACGAACGCCCTAGGAAGACCTCTGTGAATCGGATGTGGCAGTGGGATTTTTTTTGCTTTCCCCAGCATCTGCTTCACATTCAAGGATGTCCAGCACGAGCGTGTCATGTCGGAGTTTCCCCGGGCTTCTGCCAAGGTCTCCAACAAAAACACCGCATCCTGAGACGGGCTGTCCTCAACTTGTCAGAAATACACCCTTTGGGGATGTCCACCATAACATCTTCCATCAGCTGAAGAAATCAACGTCGTGTCGTTGGAAGAGTGTTCTGGAGTTTGGACAATGCTGGTCAGCTGTTTCACATCCGCGGCCCGCGGCACCGTGTTCAATCGCCACCGGAGTTCTTTGGTCGTCCCATGAAAAGACAGACATGTGGTCTGCGGGGAGCTGCGAGAAAAACGCTGGCAAAATGTTTGCTGTGACTCTGGCAATTGTGTCTTTGTCCATGACTTGCCCTCATAATCTTGCAATCTGCCTACCCAATCTATGTCGAGTCGCTGGTTGCCTACCTCAAACATGTCCTCATGCTGCTACCCCTGGCTGTTGTCTACTATTATCTTGAATCATATAAGCTTCAAATTCCCACGTGTCTGTCATACCCAGTGACTGCTGCTGTAGTGACATGCTGGCTGTGTGTGTGTGTGTCAGTGTGACATGTAGCGGGCTCAGTCTCATCCAAACGTGCGGCGACCGACCATGCCCTGCTCCATGCACCAATGCTGCAAACATGAGTGCATGCAAAAGGAACATGAGCAACTCTAGGACATGAGCAGAGAGCGAAGGGGTGGGAAGCACCTGATCCGGCAAGATCGTCTTCGTGTCCGTTGGGAAGAGCAAATGGTGTCCGTAGAGTGGATTTCAGGGCTTCAAGGGCGGGTGTGCTCTCAGCGTTGGAACGACGAGTCTGAGTTGTTGTCTGCCCAATGAATTTTAAGTTTACCACTATCTGGTTACTCGAGGAAACACACTTATCTGCTGTCGCGTATCAGCTTTTCTAAGTCTTTGACAAGGAAGGCCGTCTTGACTGCAATGTGTACAGTTCTTGAAAGTGCCCACCGTGTTCTTGCATATGTTGGCATTAGATATTTGAACCTCAGCCTTAGACCGATGAGTCAAGTCGACGTCATGACCATGCTGTTACAAGTGAGGGGTGTTGAACTCCAAAAATCAGAAGTGTTGGTGCACCATGACAAACTCCAAAATAGTACTTCTGTCCCGGGGTACGGGTATCCCTGCCTAAGTTGGCCCCTGAATAATTGCATACTTGCACAACTACATACACATCAGATGTCGTTGTGTATGTATATGTAGGCATGTACCTAAGTACCTACGTACGGCGGGATGGATAGATGGATGGATGTATCAATGATGGATGTCTGTACACATGAAAAGCAATGCGGCTTGCGGGTTCATAGACTCAGACTGTGCGTCGGGCGCCGGGGGCGAATGCAGAGTTCCTCGAGCATCTTCAATCTGGGATAATAAGAAGTAGCTGCCTGATCCGCTACTTTATGACGGCTTGGGCAAACTAACTAAGAACTAAGCGGTTTGACCTGCATTTTGTCGGGCAACACACATCTGGGTTCACTCTATCATTTAAATGAGGAGTGAATGCATTGAGACCCGGGCGTGGGGGTCTGGCTCTCCGACACCAACGTTCTAGTAGAAGGATCTGTCCGCGCGAACACCATGCAGCAAAGGGCCTCAGTATGCTCTGCTGATGACGGCATTGTTACAGGGGGCGTCTTTCTTGCTCCTGCTATTGCACAGCCGCAAGGTCTTATCCAGAGATTCTCCTGGTGGCTTTGGTGGGTGGACAAAACCAAACACTGCTGGGCACAACAAGTTCAAGGCAAACCACAGGGACATCTGCCACGTCAAGTCACGGAAAGGGCATTCAATGCAGGCACGGCGTATGGTGTGGTCCATTGCGCATACCAGAGGCTATTGACGGTGGCGCAAGCTCGGTGAAAAGAACCCTGCTGATCCTTATCTGTCAAGTTCCGAAGAAGCGATCTCAAAGCTAGGCTATTGGGATTACTATCATAATTATTTGGAACCACAATCAACTAAAGGTTGCATTAATTCCTGGCAACCAAGGCTCTTCGCTCAGGCCAGGAGGAGCAATCTCTGCGAAACACTGCGTCTGGTTAAAAGTGATGTCCAGATCTTTGGATGCGTATGCAAAGACTTCAGAATACATACTGGCCAGCCTGATCTGTGTCTCGATGGATGCGATCGTCCCCATGGAGAAACGAAATGCAACACAAGCGACGGCAGTGAAACCTGTGCATATTCCGAAGCTCAGTGCTCCTGCTGTAAAGAAATGCGGGGCAGGGATTGCACCGAACAGCTTGCAGCGAAGGCATGCCAGCAAAAGGAACGTTAGCTCCAGACATACCATGAGCGGCATAACCGGTATCGTAAGTAAATTCAGAGTGGAGACGCCCAGCATCAGTATCACCGACAGAAGACCAAAACACACCTGCACCTCTGTTGGCGCGGCAGGAATGTCGAGAACAAAGCACAGCACCGGGAATAGTCCTGCTAGCGGCATTTATGCAAACCAATCCCAATCTGAAAGGAGGGGACCTCAAATAGGCAACTTAAAGAAATCAGAAAGCATGTATCCGCCGAGGCCACCGGCCCAGGCGTCTTGGGGGTTACCTCAAGTACCCTCCACCAAATCCTCCTCTTTGCAGTGCAAGTGTTGGACGCATGCGTTTTTTGTGTCCATTTTCCACCCCCCCGCCCGGCTTCGCCTGATTTTACCTCACTTGTCGGCCTTTGTCTTCTGGTCTTTTTGCTGTTTTTTGGCGTTTTCTGGGCAGGTGTCCCCCCCCTACCACCCCCCCTCTACCCCCTCCCCTACCCCCGCCCCTCCCTTCCTTCCCGTGCCCCCTGCCCCTCAGCAGCCGAG